GGGAAGCAGCCCACAAGACTCTCCGGGCCCATTAGCACAACCACCGCACCTGGGAGGGTACGCTGCCGAACCCTCCGACCTCCAATGACTTGCCATGCGCATGCGACCACCTGAAAACCATTCTCCTTGATCCAACTACACCCACAGTCGACAACCACTACATCCTCACCCTTGAACAACTCGCACTACCACCGCACCTCCGCATTTTCCTGGCAGCCAACATGAACAGCACTTTTTACCCCAGCAAGGCCAGATATTTCCTTTCATTCCAGACTGCTTTCACCAAATGGCTGCGCATTCAAGGCCTTCCACCCTCACTCACACAGCACTTGGAACCCTTCCTCCAGCACCAATGGAGGCTCCACACCGACCATTTGAAGCACACCAACCCCGCTTCACGGCTCGCCTTCTCCGGCAACCCCAGAAATTCCTGGGCGACCAAGTCGTCCTTCACCATGCTGACCACGAACTTCAACAGCTACGCATTTTCTGCCCCCGCCAATACTTCGCCGGGGCGCTTGCCACCTGGCAGTCGCCGGAACTCTTTTCCCCCATGCCGACACTCCAATCGTCCAACATCCACGAACACCTGATACACACCATCCCCCCCAGCCTCCGCACACGTTACAAATGGGGCTTTCGGAAAGATTTCACGATCCCATACGGCATCGTTCACCTCAAGGAGAAGAAACAGTGGAGCAAAGGCCGCACCATTATCTCGTACTTTCAGTCCTTGAGCGGCAATCTCCTCCGCATTACCAGCCGAGCCCTTGATATCATCCTACAACACCTCCTTCCCCAGCATCCAGGCCAACTTTCCATTCCACAACTGTGGTCCCACTTTCACTGCTACCTCACCGACACCCCACCCGACATTCCCCTGCACGCCACCAATGATGATCTTGTTGGCTTTTCCAACTCAGTTCCACAGCACCGCCTGATTGACGCCGTCCATTCCCTCACTCAGCAATGGCAACGCCAGAACCACACCCATACTCTTACAGTTGACACCAAAGCCACTGGCAACCCTTTCCACCACTCCCACATTGGCAGGCACCACCGATGCCACCCTACACAACGCACCATCCATACTGAGGACATTACAACCATTGTGGCATACGCACTCGACACCTGCATTTTCCGGGCACGCAACAACACCTACAAGCAAATCCGGGGGGCTGGGATTGGCTCCCAGCTCTCCCCTGCCCTTTGCAACGTTGCCATCACCCTCATCGAACACTCCTGGCATCAACTTCACAACAATCTCCTTCAACACACTGCCCTCCACTTCACATACTATCGCTACGTGGACAACCGTTTCATTGTCCACAATGAACACTTCCTTTCACACCCCGCCATCCAGACCCTCATCCACAACAACTTTTTCGGCGATCCCGTCGAATTGGAAACAGTGGAGGACTTTCACCTTCTGGGCTTCAACATTGACCTCCAGCAACGCACCATCACATACATACAACCCACCCAACCCTGGAAAATCAGGGACCACACCAGCGCCGGTAGCCAGCGCTTGGCTCTGTCCGGCTTAGCTTCAAGACTTCATTCCATCTATACATACACTTTTCCACCCCACAACGCCACCGCTGCGGCTGAAGCCCTGGTCCACCTATACGCCCAAAAGGGGCATGACCTGCACGCGTGCAGGCGGTTTTTGAGAGAAAAGATCCGTGTCTCCACCGCTTGATCTGTGCGCCGATCACGGCTTGTTGTGTGTGTCACACCCTGGTTCTAAGGGGTTTTCACGTTCTCACCGTTCCACTGTAACCGAGGCATGTTTCAAAAGATTTTCCAGCAGGGGGCAGCAGGGAATCCACAGTTCTGCTGCCAACGAAGACAGCTGTGGACATTCCGTGAAGCAGATTGGGACGCCAATCTGTGTACCTGCCAGGAAACTGTTGATCACGCTGTCCAATTTTCCTTTTTGTTTCCATGGTGGTTCATGATACTTCCCTTAAACCACTCTTCCCCAGCTGCGTTGAGCCGCTCGTTCACCACCGCTGAGGTCTGCAGTCAAGAGAAACAGCCTGTGTTAAAACACCTACAAATCCGCGGACTTTTCACCATACGGTTCCATCGCCATCCTTCCCAACGTGGCAATTGAGTCTAACTGAAAACCCAAGTTCGAAGTGTGTCAATTCCTGTTTCTAAGGAACTTGACCACACCAATTGTACAAAGCAGGGGGGGCGCAGCAAATGCAAGGGACTGCGCCTAACAAAGCTACCTTGCATCTGGGAAGCCAGGTCTGATCAACCTGGTGTACCTGCTTCTTCCCCAGTATGATTTAAACAATATTGTTGCCGACTCTTCGCCTTTCTGTTCCTCTCAGGGCTGTTTCTCAGGTATCGGGTGTCCAGCGCTCTAAACCGGTATTGTAATCGCTAGAGTGGAGGATCACAACTGATATTGCTCTTGCAAGCCTTTATCTAAGTGTGTGGGTGGGGGGGGTGCTTTTGTTTGTGTGCTTGCTTGCTTGCTTGCTTGCTTGCTTGCCTTGCCTTGCCTTGCCTTGCCTTGCCTTGCTTTGCTTTGCTTTGCTTTGCTTGCTTGCTTGCTTGCTTGCTTGCCTGCTTTTTTGTTTTCCTAAGTCCTAAGGATGCAGTTCTTAGGACATCATTCTAACAGCGCCTCAACAGGATGGCACGCCCATCTGAAAAGTAGAGCTGTAGCTGCTGGTTCAATCGTTTTCGAATGCCATGCCTTGACTGACAGCCCGGCTTCGAGCGCATCCCAAATTTACAGAGACATCATGTATAGACAAGGAATGACAAGGATCACTGTCTTTTGGGCCATATTGATGGCAGCTGTATTAAGTCGCGCAAAAGCGTTGCTGATTTACGGTATAAGCACCGACTTCTTGTACACAAAGGAAAAAGAACCCCAAAAAAGGCAAACGACAAAAGCATTGCCTCAACTAGCGACTGAACAATTTGCAACCAAGACACCCGATGACATTCACCTGTCTACCTCAATAGCTTCTTTAGCCAAAGTGTGTCGCTTCTACGGGCCAAAGTAATTCGAGCACTAGTCACTCGTCACCAATATGTCAGCTCTGCTTTGACCCGCACCAATTTGCTCTAACTGCCTCAAGTCAGTCTTTGAGAGGATGGTGCTTGAGCTCGGGCGGCTTGCAGTCAAAGATGCATCTTTTCAAGTCCATAAGGATGACCTCATCGTTCTTGACCTTCGCAGATTGAGTCTGGCGTATTCTGCTGCACAGTCGGTGTTCATTGGCCCAATTTGAACTCAAGCCGCGCGCCTCAACAGTGACTGTGTCTAGCTCCCCGTTGATCTTCAACTTGGCCGGCACCTGCCAGGGTATGGGCAGACCGCATCATCAAGCGGCGACATGGGCAGAAGTCGTGTTAAAAAAAGAAGTCTTTAAACAAAAAACACGACACAACCGAGTGGCTGCAAGTCGTTGAAGTATTGCCTAGGACCGTAAATATCTACCGTCGTTTCCTCGGAGGACCAAAAGCTGGGTGCGAAGTGTCCACACGAGTGCTTGGCAGCAAAGGCGAAAGAAGTGGAGACAAATAGAGTCTGCAGCCAAAACCTGGTAGAAAAACCCATGTATATGTATATATATATACTTGAAATCCCCTTTAGAGTTTTGGCGGCTTGTAGGAGGTTCTCCAAAACAGTCTACACTGACGGCCTCTGGCTCTGGTGGTTGCTGCACAAACGCCGGGATGCCCGACAGGAGTGCTCGCCTGGCATGTGAGTCGACAGGAATTGAACAGTGCTCCAATCCGTGAAATCATGACAACCACTGAAGTAGGCCTGATGAAGCCGAAGTAGAGCTTCTGAGCAAAGGAGTTGCTTTTAAAAAGAGAGCAGAAAGCGCAGCTCTGATCTACAGTAAATAAACAGAACATAAACAGACAATTAGCAAGTGGCGACTGGCCTGATCCGCGTTTTCGGGTTCAAGCTTGTAGTACTCGTACGCCTTGATTCTGCACCACTCCATGAAAGTTTAAATATTTATAATACGTACTAATTTTGATCAAATCTCCAAGGCGCCGGGGTCAGCTCGATGTCATGGTCAGCTTCTAGGGCCTCCGCCACACAAGCGGCGCAGGAAAGTGCTGCACATGGTTTACCATCCAACTCTGCTAGATTTAAGGTCTAGGCGTTTCACGCTTTGGGGTTCTCGTCTCAAGACATAGTTTGTTCTTCCCTGGCCCTGCCCCACGTCCAATCCTCAACCGTCAAGTCCACCAAACCAGGCACACCAATCAAAAAGAAAGCTTCGCCAGCCACAAAACAACACTGCCGACCTCATAGGCATCCCGCACAGCGGTGGCCATTTGCCCACCCCAAGGCGGGCACTGTGTACCAACCACATTCCCCATGACTGGCCCAGGTGCTCACCACCTGGCATTGGAAACTGCAACGCATCATGGCCAAGGTTGGACAATTGAGATGTTGCTTTTAAAGCCTGCCCTTACTTAATTAAGTAGGCGCCTACTCAATTAAGTAAGGGAGTAAGATCCAAGCTACTTGGACGCTACTACATATGAACGCAGGATAGCTCACGCTTCTTCGAGGAAGCTCCCTCCGCCTGACGCTCGGGGGAGCTTCCTTGAAGAAGCGCTCACACTAATGATTTGGTTCCTAGACTTTTAAGGAAACTAAAGATACTACACGATTCGGGAGGATCTTCTGTCTTCCAAATTGCAGATCCTGCCGGCTGCGAACAATACCTTTCTGCCCACCTGCTGAAACTGGCAGGCAGCAGCTTTCCGCAGACTCTCGAGCAACTCATTGGCAGCAGGAGACATGTTCAAATTGCTATGACTGTTGAGTGGAATTGCCAAAGGCTTAGATGGGCATCTCGAGGGCATCTCGAGGGCATCTCTGCCTCGAAGAGGGATTCCAAAACTCCATGTTGCAGGGTCCATCGACGTGTAACTTCCAAGGCCCTTATTCGATATCTTTGATCGGGAACGACGCATAAACAGAACAAGCAATGGTGGGGCACTTGTCTTGGCTCAGCAAGCCCTCCACAAACTCCCCGATGGTGGTGCGCCACTCTGAGTCCTGCCAAGAGTGCCAAAAACGGTCGATTTTGTCTTGGCAACTTTTTCGTGTCATGCATCAGGCTTTGGAGGTCGATGTTTCTCCATGTATCCCAGGCTCTGCAAGCCATGTATGTTTTCATGCTTTCTCAGTCGTGGGTCAGATAGTGAGATGTTGCACGGTTTTGCTGGCTGTTAGCCTTTACTGCTAAGCTCCTCCCATAGAGCACGTTGCAACAACAAAGCTTTTCATGCTAATCTTGGGGATGCAGTCCAGCATAGAAAGCAAGGCATCTTTCCTTCCTTTGGAGATCAACCCTCAGGACCAAAAAGCACCACAACAGGTTGCAGCCAATGACAGTGAAGAGAGTATGCATCTGTGTCAGGCAATAGGCAGGAAGATGCACTCCAGTCACCCAAACATCCAAAACAGACAGGTTAGGAATCTCGCTCATGTCAGAGCAAGCCATCTCATGCGCTTCCAAAGCACCGAGCACGGCCATCTCATGGCTGACTGAATGACAGCACCTGAACAGATCGATTTTAATCTGCACATTACATTCCATCCCAGCTTCTCCCACATCTCAATGCACCGCTAGCAAAGTAGAAACAAACTTGGTGTTCCTATGGTTTTCCTTTGTTATCCTATCAAACTCTGGAAAAGGCGGAGGTTTCTTATTTAAAGACACATTCAAAGATATGCAACAAAAGAGAAGAAGCAATATCCAAAAACAAGTAGCCACAAGACAAGAGCAACGTTTTTTGAGTGTCTTTCAAGATTGAGATGAAGGCAAGCTTCTTAAACTACATCTGCTAGCCCCTGCTAAACCAAAACCACCGAGCATTTCACATCCTTTTCACCGACCAAGTACAGTATATAACCAGCCAAACGGCCAGGCTCACCAAGCCAGAAATGATCCAGCCAAGCTCTCCGGGCTCTCCTTGGCTGGCCGCAGCTCCTCATCATCCAACACATACTCCCCGAGCCAGTTCCACAACCTGGCCAAACCATGGCTCCGGGGAATCATGTCAGCCAGGCAAATGAGGAAAATGTGCTTCTCCGAAGTTGTAGACACTTTGGGAGAGCCAAAACCGTGTTCTACACTATCCTTTCATCCCATGTCAGCTCTGAAATTCCGCACTTGGTTTTGCAAGGAAACTTCTGTCTTGAGTCTGCACGTTTGGCAAGACCATGGACGAAGCTCACTACAATCATTGACGCAAAAGCTGCTCCTGTCTTTCTGGCATCTAAATGCTGCCGTGGCATGCCTCTCTCAGCTGATTTCTCCAAGGTGCTTGCGATGGTCAAAAAAAGACGTTTAAGCGAAGCTCAACTTTCAACTTTCTCAACACCTTCGGATACCTACTCGAGCCTTTGGATTTTGGGCTATTCAATTCCATCTGAGTGGTTTTGCACAAACACCTGTGCGCTTCTCAGCTTCACAAGGGCAAGCAAAGTCTTCACTTAGCCACTGCGCAGCTTCAATTCAGTCTGCCACAAGAACAGCTGTTCGGTATCACAACATAAAAACCCAACATAAACACAAATGCAACCTTTTGAGAGGATTCACAGGCAGCATGTTGGGTCAACAGAGGGGGTGTTGGCCCAGCCTCACAACATCCTCAGCATGCTATAATCGTTTTCATAGAACATTGTTATCCTGTTCACATCATTGTCATCGGGGTCACAGCATTGTCATCCGCTCCACAACATTGTCATCGGCTTCACAACGTTGTCGTTGGTTTTCATGTTCATCCGCATTCATGGTCTGTCATATGATGATGTGGTCAGTTTATTACATGTGTATATATATAGATACAATTATAGATGTACATTGTACATATGTAAGTACGATATATCGATCTGACCTGGCTGAACTGGGACGAAAAGGATGCAGCGTACAAACATTTCTGCACTGGAAATCCCTGTGCTGCGTCGTCGTCGCCGTCGTCGTCGTCGCCATCGTCGTCGTCGCCGGCGTCGTCGTCGTTGTGGTCGTCAGCTCAGATTGCGTCAGGAACCAAAAATCCTGGGTTTGTTGCAGTAAAATGTCCCTCTTGGACCCTTTCTCCAAGAGTCTTACATGCAAAACGAGAATCTACAGAAGGGTTGTGTCATCGTCTTGGTTTGTAGAAAATCCAAGACGATGGAGACAGGGTCAAACAGTGAGGTTTTACTGTTAAAAACAATGGATTGGATTTTACACCTGCATCATGATGCTGCGGGGTTAACCTCCGAGAGTTTACTCAGCAATTTGCTCTGATTACAGTCGAACCAACAATAGTCCACGGCCGACCGGAAAAACACACGCGAAACAAAAACAACCTTTATATAGTGGACATGGCCTTAACTGGAAACATCTTGTGTGGAGTGGTGACAACTAGATGTCTTTTATTGTCTATTGTTTCGAGGCCTTGTCTATTTGCAATATGTCGGGTTTCAGAAAGGCCATGCCATGCCTCACATTGTGTAGTTAGGTGAAACCGGAGCTGACTATTTGGCAGACAATTGGAATGGCAGCCGTTTCTTGAAGTTGTTGCGCTTTGGTTGAAGTAGAAGGATGGAATGAACTACAGAAGAAGAATGCCAATGCTTCTTCTTTGGTACGGAAGGGTGAGTCATACAAGTGGATAGAATCCGCACAATCTAGGTGAACTTTGCATTTCCGGAGCCCACACGCTCTAAAACACTTGTGATGCTTGAGCGAAACATTGTGGCCAGGATCATGATGTTTCCCATGATCTGGCCGCAGCGACAAGCAAGCCCTAGTGAAAAGAATTGCTTTCGAGTCATCAACGTCCCAGGTGGTCCACATGCAGCTGGATTGAACTGTGCATCGTAAAGGACATGCCGCAAAGGATCCATCATAATGAGAAGAGAAGCAAGGGCAATCCAAAGCGCCCAGCGGACGTTCCTCTTGTGTAGCTCATGGGTGACATAATTGGATAAAACTGCCAGAAGCAGTGCAAATTGCAGCTGGTGGCTGAGAAAAATCACATCATTGCTAAAGGCCATTCCCAAAATCACACTCAGCATCGTAGGCAAGCATCAGAAGCCCACCAGCATGGGCGCACTTATGCACATGGCCAAACCAGAGGTCAGCCGTTCGGACAAACTAGCTGGACCTCTGGGTGGCAAGCTGTTTGTTGACTCCAGCAAGGACTGTTCGGAGCATTGCGACATTCTGTGAGTCACAAGGCGGAGGTCAACTTGGAATGTCTCTTTAAAGGCTTTGAGCCTAAATTAACATAATGCAAAAAGTGTCTCTTCTTTTTGAGAATAGACTACTCTATCCTACTCACTCCAACAAGTCCATGAACAACTGCTGATGAGGCACAGGTAGGCACAGCATGTTTGCTGAGGTTGGTTCAGGGTGGCGTCTTCAACTCAAAAGCAGGCGACCGAGGACGAACTGCAACTCTTGCCAGCCAAGCGAGTCAGGAGCCAGTCCAAACCGCACGAAAAGGAAACCTGTGCCATGGGCCGCCAGCTGAAACTGGTGTTGCAAAAGAGCTCGATTGGGAGTGGTTCTTTCGGGAGTGGTTCTTTCGGGATGTGAATGAGGAAAAAGCACATCGGTTGCACTCGTTGGCGTTATCCCTCTTGGGTGAGCATACTCATCAGTTTTGTCTCCATACCTTGAATGTTACCAGCTCAGGTTGTCTCCCTGATATTTCCTCTTTGCATTTTGAAGGCCTTTCAATTGCCACAGAAGAACTTGGCTCAGCCATCTTTAGGCGCTCTCCTCTTCAGCACCCCTCCATCCGCCTACACAGCGGATGTATGCATTCTCTGGATGGTCCATCAGCCTGGCCACATGAACAAAACAAACGTGAAGCGTCCGACAGTCCGACAGATCAAGCAGTTTGAACAAAGAAGTCTAATCAAAGGAACACACATGGTGCAGTGGAGGGCTGCTATTCCCTTTCTTAACCGGAACTGACTCGGCCCATAGTTAGCTCACCGCTGCTTTAAAAAGCTTCATCTTGGTGTCCCATGAAAACGGATAGTCACTCGGCAAATTCAACTTCTACAGTTGCGTCCGCAGCACCACATTGAAGGTCCCCATACCAATGACAATTTGCGTGTGTTCAATATTAAACATTGTGTGCAACATCTGACAAAGCAGACCCTTCGAATACTCAAAGCCAACAACCTATATAATCTACATTAAGCGTGTGATAGAGCTTCCTTGAGGCACACTCGGAAATGCCCGTTTACAGCTCACCCATTGGGTGGATGCCGAAAAAAAATCCTAAACGTATATATATAATATATATGGGAACATAAATGCACTTGTCTGCAAGGTCAGCTTCGTCTTCTCCACAAAGCTTTGGATTCATACAACGCCGGACCGGCGCCTTCTAAGTTGTCGGCCTGGCTGCAGAAAGGATCAAAAAGGTATGTTGAAATGTGTTGTGAAAAGTGGGAAACAGGAAAACCTCGTGTCAAGATTTAGACAGAACGATCGTCTAATATACATAAGTGTTTCCCTCAAGTAGTGGTGGATCTTTTGGTTTGCCAAAACAGTCTTTGGGGCTTGAGCCAAGAGTTCTGGCCAAGGTATCATGCTTGGGTAACGATAGCTTGTTGATTGGCTTAAACAATGGATGTCTTCATTGGTCTTCATCTCGCTCCGTTCTGCATTTAAAATGGGTTTGAACCTGTGATCTAGGTGACTTTATGTCTGTTGGCTAAAATCAGTCCAAACTGGTTGCTGTCCAGAAAAGCCGGAGTCAGCTGTTTTTGTCCAATCCTTTTTGTGTTTGTCACGTTCTTCCAAGTTGCTGTCAATTCCCATGGTGAAGAGCCGGTAGAGACAGCAAAACAGTGCTGACGGTGTCGTATTGCTGTTTGGCATGTACCTGACAGAAACTGCTGTGGGATGCTATGGGTGGTTTGGATGCACAAAGGTATTGACAAAGTCTCCAAAGAGAGAAGACACGCCTTCGACGTGGAGGTCGAAAGGCCTCTAAGAAAAAGGTCTCTAAGAAACGTCATGGGTAGTAACCGAAGGCCTTAAGAAACGTGTGGGGCAAGTAGTGATTGTTTCGGGCAGAAGAGATCCAAGAAATGAAAGCGTGAAGGTCCCACTATATACAATGACTGGCTGATAAATTCTCTTCGTACTCCTGTTGAAGGTGCAATTTATGTCTCTGCCATGTCTGCATACTTGTCACACAGGATTCAATCACCATGTAGTTCCCCAGGAGGGGCACGGCTCAATGTTGTCGGCAAACCTGAGAAACAAATGGCAGGTGATTCGTCATGCATCAGGAAGACACAAACTGTTGCCATCTGTTGTCCGTGTTCTTCTGCAACAATGCTGCCAACAAAGAACTTTGTTTGGCTCCTCATACTGTGGACCCCGGATTTTGTTGTCCAAGATGATTTCTGGGCAGCACTTAGTGTACAACATCCGCTTTTTGATTGGTTGAGCATGATCAACCCTGGCCCTAGTAAAATTGCTGATGTACAATGCCTCCCACATCATTCAGGGCCATTGGAGAGGGTCATGAGCAAAATCAGCAAGGCTTGTAGTATTCTGCCGGCCTTCAAAGCCTGCGAAAGAACCCTTCAGTTTTGCCCAGGAGCTGATTCATCTCGTCAATCATCTGCTCAAACGATTCCAAGGACAAGAGTGCCTGCATTCAATCAAACTCAGCGTGCAGCAAAAATGAAGTGATACGACTTGGAGAGATCATCTTACACGCATCATTGACATGTCTACATAATCACCCATTTCGACATGTGTTTAATGTATGTGCATACATGGCCGTTCTTCCAGGGTCGTTGCTCCTAAAGAACTAGATCGTGTACCTTGGTGAAAGGACAAAACTGGCCTTGAAGTGAGCTGACTCCACTACCTGGACTCGGAGAATTGAATCATTTCCAGAGGAATAACTGTAAGGTCTGTTCAGCACAACGCACAAGAAATTTGTAGGTCGACCTCGAACAGTCACCATTAGGCCACCGATGTACGGTTGGGCCTTCGATATTTATATATATATATCAAAAGAGGCACATGGTATGGAATGGTTGTGTCACCAATCTTTTTCTCTGGCTTTAAGGCTTTTGTCTGAGGTTCTTGCGTGCGTCTGAAGCAGTGGGCTGAATCCATAGGTCTTTGTGTTGACGATCTCCAGTGCTCCACGAGGAGCACCGACTTAGGAACCAGGCTTTTGCAAACGTGCTCAAGGTTCCAAGCTTCTCTTGACATTTACCCACAAGCACGATCCTCTTGATCATTCCCTGGCAAGCTCTAACGACGACACTGCTACTGGCCGCTCATCGGCTTCGAAGCTAAGGCGGCAACTGAGATCAAATCTCCTCTCCTTTTCGGTACTCTTTGACAGTGCCGCCTTTTTCTCATCACGCTCTGTGACGTGTTCCTGCCACACTGCAGCAATCTTTGAGCATTCAGAGGAAATAGGCCAGGCAACGAACAATTGAGATTTCCTGTTAGCTTGCTGATTTCAGCTTTCACTTGAGATTGTGCACAAGGATGCCCGCTCTGAATTGTAGATAATCATGAGCCTTTTTCTGAAGCACCGGGAATGGTCATACCCGTGCAAAAACAGCAAACAGAGCAGAGGGGAAGCCTCCTTCAAAATACAACACGCTCGAGACAATGGATCAGACCTCGATCCCAGTCCTGGTGTCGCTTGCAGAATTTGCACTTCGAATTGGGCTTCTTGTGCAAATGACACCTTCGTGAGGCAAACTGCTATGGTCCCAGAGAGGCCCCTGACAACTGAAATGTTGGCAAATGAGACGGTTCGTACAGAAGTTTCACCACTACAAATATAATAGTTGCAGCTGGAGCTGAAGCCTTCAAAATTGGTCAATGAGCCTCAAAAAAAGTAACACTTAAATATAGATAAATAGATAGATAGATAGATAGATAGATAGACAGACAGATAGACAGACAGACAGACAGACAGATAGATAGATAGATAGAGAGAGAGAGATATAAAGAGATAGATAGAGAGATAGAGAGATAGATAGAGAGATAGAGATATAGATATAGATATAGATATGGAGAGAGAGAGAGAGAGGATACTTCTCTTGTGAAACTGTCTCTAGAATATGTCCTCAATTTCTGGTGACTCACCTCCCCTAGAAACATGTCTCAGCCGCTCTGCCTCAACTTTTCTTCGGCCTCTCGCTCGGCCTGCGCTTCCTTCAGCTTCTCCTCACGAAAGAGAAAGACCAGCAACCGCTGAAAGGATCATGTCTAGACAGGCCATGCTATGAGAATGTTCTCAGCCTGCAAAAACTTAAAAAAGGGCTGGACATCACGGTAACTAGCATACTGGCAGCATGGCACTTTTTTTGGAGGGCGTGCGCTCTTAGTTTTCTTTCTCTGATGCGGCTCACTTGCCGAAGAGGGCTTGTCCATGGACAAATCCTAAGAGTGTGTGTGTAGGTTTGTGTTGGCCTAAGACACAAAAAGGAAAGGTGAGAATTGAGAATGTCAAGGGAAGTTGGAAATGTCTGTGTCTCAAAACTTGCAGCTGGAACATCCCACATTGCCAAGAAACAAGGACTTAACCTATCACATTGGCACATTGGGCTAAGATCGTTCAATAGATTCTCCAATCTAACACCCAGTACAAATTCAGAAGACAGTACGGATCGCGTCACAACCACCGGGTCGAGCCTCACGGCGTTGCTTCGCCTGAGCAATGGCCTGTTCCCTCTGTTGCTGCTGCTGTTGCTGCTGCAGCCTGCAGTGGGTGTCTCTTAGACTTTGCCCGGAGGCTTCCAGGGGACCTCAGTGACCTCTAGAATCACCAAAAGTCTTGAGGGGTCCCGAAATTCCTTGAGACGAACCCAAACCATCTGGGATCACTTTGATAAACTGACTGGTGTCTTCATGCGAATAGGTGAGAAAGGACAGCAGCTGCATGGTACAGCACAGGTGTGAATCAGCACGTACGGACCACAAAAACTAGTTTTCAAGATACCACGTGTGCATACAGCACCCAACCTTGCTTGCTCCGCAGCAGCCGCAGCTTGTGCCTTCCGAAACACTTGCAGCGCTTCCTACATTCCTTCATGAGGCCATCACTATTAGGTTGGAGGCCATCGCTAGTAGGCTGGAGGCCATCGCTAGTGGGCTGGAGGCCATTGCTATTAGGTTGGAGGCCATTGGCATTAGGTTAAGAGGAAATCAATACTGATTGATTGAAACCACTGCGGCCGGCCTGGACCACGGCACGCTGCTGTGCCTCGGCCACGGCTTGTGCCTGTTCCTGCGAGGAGGTAGCCCTAGAGGAACAGAAAGGAGGGCCGCCCTATGACTACCGCGTTCATCTCTCCTCTACAATACAAGTACCACCACTGCGCTTGTGAAGAGTCTTCGGGTTTCTGTGCAAAGGAAGTCAAGTTGCTTCGATCCCGAGACTCTCCTGGGCAAACCTGGCAGCAGCTTCTGCTGCCTGAACTTGTGCCTCAGCCATCTGGGAGCGACTTGTTGGTGATACGTGCTTTCATGGGATATGGAGAGTAGGTGGTAGTAGTAGGACCCCTGAACCCGGCGGGTGGTTTCATACTCTGCGTGATATGGATTCGACCTCTGAGCTGCCGTGCCTGTGCATGTGCCTGGCCAAATCAATCATTCCAGCCATCTCAGAGTACAAAGCCAGGTATGAAGGCTATTTATGTGAACGTTTGGATCCAAATATGGATAAGTATATTGTGCTGAAAAGTTGGATCCAAACATGGATTCTTTGCCCCGGCTTGAACTGTGATACCAAATGTGGGCAGTCGGTCGACTGTATTTCCCGACAAAGCCATGAGGGACCAAAAAAGGAAACTCTCTTGCCATCTTTGCTCCAAAATTAACCGAGAACTAGGATGACCAAATGAAAAACGTTCAGTATCCTTTGCTGCAACAATGGTGCTTTTGCCATGCTCATGCTAGTTGATCTGTGAATCTGCGACCACCTTTTCTCACATGCGTCCCTTCTCAATGAGAATGCTAGGCCTGCGCCTGTGCCTGCAGCTCTGCAAGACTTGCTGCATTATGCGCCTCGTTGTCAGAAGAAAGAGCAATCAAGTTCCCACTCCATCCAAAGGCTAGAGTCTATACAGTCCCATCCCAATCTGGGATAAAAGAATGCGTTTGTGTGTTTTTTGGTTCGCTCCAGATTAATTACGTAGGCGCCTACTTGATTAAGAAAGGGAGGCAAGCTACTGGGCTAAGTTAGCTTCTACACATGGAAGTGGGATAGCTCACGCACTGATGGTTTGGTTCCTAGATTTTTAGGGAAACTTAATTAAGGGACGTGCATTCGTTGCAATGGAGTGCCCATATCGAGGAAGGCATTACAGTATGCGTTTCTCACCCTCCGCCCAAAAA